TATACTCTACTCCGGTAGACACGAATCGGTTTAAAATTCATTAAAAATCAAAATATTGTGCTACGACTTAGCCAATCATATCACTGGCTTTGTTCGGTTCTCTGCTTTGTGGGAGATGCATGATGAGTAAGTCATCTGGAGTCTATTGATATCATTTTCATACCAATGTATCGTTTTCTTGACAACTGGTTGCCATTATTGTTGCCGCATGTAACTTAATGTTTATATTACAGTATATTTAAAATCATTTTTTATAATAAATGTCCACTAAAATTTAAAAATTGTAAGTCTCATGACACACTTCAGATACCTTTCTGCGCTGATTCTGCGTGAGTTTGTTGCACAGGCTTTGGGTAAATGTGTGTGCGAAGTTAAAGCGGCGGATATATGCTGGTACTCCAACACGTTACGCAGGGCGAACACCCACCATGGGACAAGAGATACAACGAATTGTATTATTCGAATACTGACAGGCCACAATCCCAAAATTCAAGATGTTGGAGACTTAGTGTACAAATGGATACTAAGAGTAACTCCATTGACGAGCGTAAGTTATTTCGTTTATTTTTGTGAATATTTTAGTATAATGTGGACTGTATCTATACAATTTATATTTAGATACTGTTCGGAGGAAAAGTTATAGAAATACCATTTACTGCACTTCAACCTCATCATTCTCATCCATACGATTTGAAGCGTGATAAATGGCGATCAAGGACGAATAATACAGATTTTACGCCTCGTTTACAAACTTTGAATGATATTGACGAAGTGTTTGCCATTAATAAATACCCAGTCACGCCATTCAGTAGAGTGGCACTTCAACCACCACGCAGACGAGAACCGATTGCAGATTTTCTACAATATTTGCCACCTAGAAGAGTAAGGCCTCGACGTCAGGAAGGCGAAGATGTTCAAAACCAAACCGTTAATGAAAGACCAGTTGATGTTCCAAACTTTGAAGAACAAACTCCTGTAATACATTATAATGTAAATGACGTAAATTAATGCCCTGACGAAAATGTACCAGACCCATGTACCAGCCAACAACAGCAAACATTGGTTGACCGCTCGAGGCCGGTTAGGATACGTCGAAGACCGAATTTTTACTATGAAGAATAGTATACCTGTAATATATTGTAATAAAAGCCATTTTGAAAAAGATACAGAAAATAACTAGTGCATAATATGAGACATGAGTACCCAGGACATGTAGTCCAAAAAAATTTTTTTTGAGATTTTTAATGATTTATAAATCTATTACTAGGATTTTTCCACGTCGACTTTCTACGTGAAGAAACGCGTTTTTCGCGTTCTACTGCAGAGTCCTCCTTGCCGATCAGCTCACTATCGATCACAGCTATTTCCTTGGCCGGCTGCTCAATAATTGCACATAATACGTTTTCTGCAGCTGCAGGCTTCACTACGTCTTCCGCAGCTGCAGGCATCACTACGTCTTCTGCAGCTGTAGGCATCACTACTACATCGTCGTGAGGTCCTCCCTAGGAAGTCGGAGTTGGGTCGACAGTCCCCAACTCCGAGGACGGTGCGTCGCCACTCGACTGCGCATAACTGCAGGCTGATACTATGGACTCCTCCTGAACTACTGATGACTTTGTCCAACCGTCGTTTTCTTGGACATCGTACCCAAGTGGTGCTGTCTCGGGGGTCGGAGCTGCAGGCTTAGAATCTGCGAGAAATAGCGCATCGCCACTCGGCCATTCACTGTGCAAAACAATTGACTCCTCAAAATGTTCATCGTTCTCGTCAGTCGTCGTCCTTTCCGGTTGCATCTTCTAGGTGAGCGTCGTCCAGAGTCAAAGTGGTTTTTTCGGGCTCTGACCCTGGGGACTGCGCACGTCGCCAATGGAAGCCGTATCCATATGAATGGGGGATAGAAGAGATGTAACAACTCGAATGAGGTTTTCGTCGTAGCTACTAGCTTTCATCTTCAGAAAGGCGTTCCATTATACCGTTTACAATTAATTCGAAAATTTCGAGTAATGCGGCCTGTACCTCGTTCCTGTTATTGTTGACAGCCATTTTTGATTTGAACTTAGATATATATGTCAGTTTTAATTGAGAATTGCTAATTAGCTAAATACAAGTCTTTCAACATAGAGACCGATCAATTCGAAAATCTCCCAGGTGACGACGTGTACCTATATACATTATTATACAGCCAGATAGTACGTTCATCGGCCCGCAGCATTAAATTTTCGAGCACGTTAATTTTTCTAAAGACCATTATTATTATTTATATAGTATGGGTAGGTACCTAATATTCTGGTATTACGATTTGTATTATGCTGTGACTCGATGTATACTAAAAGGGCTTAGCCGCTCAGAATCTTAAAGTTAGTTTGTTTGTTAAGTTAAATAATATACAACTTACTGATAATATTACATTTGTGTCAAATTTTTGACTTAATCCTAATTGAATATTATACACTTCTTGTGTGTTATATTCATGACATTTTGATATTATCTTCTAGGCGGCAGTTGGAACAAATGTTCAGGAGGGGTTTAAAACTAAATTATTTATTTTCATAATATAAAAACCAACTAAAAAATAAATGTATATTATATTGTAATAATTATCTAAATAAGGTTTTTTATGGATTACCTACAATCTACATGTGTGATAAAATGTGTTCACTATTATATAGTATTGTCTGTAGTTGTGTTTATCAAATGTGCATTCAATACCTATCCGTATTTGGAATTGCTAGTTTTCAATCTATTAATATACGTATTATTGTCTTATTTCAAATTGTCGAGTGACGAATATATTTTATAAAATGGAAGCTCGGAATTTAATTTTTGTTATACGATCGTTAACTATATGGAGTACCATATAATATATTCAGGATTTAGCCGATTTGGGATAATTAAACACCATAATATTTAAAAATCAAAACCAAGGGGGGCCACTGACTTTTCTTAGGGAGCCAGCACCCCCCACCCCCCTTGACGGCGTGCCTGAGCGTTTTATAAAGCCTAAAAATCTTTTGTTATCAGTAATACTAAAGTTTAAAATAAATAGCTTAAAAAATATAAATATATTTTGAAAACATCATTAGAAAATGAAAATGTAAGCTACAGTAGAATGTTTCAAGTTTTAACAACTAATACTTTTAGAATAACAGAAAAAAAACATTTTACGTGTAAATAACCTAATTTGGAAAACTTCACAAAAAACTATTATCGAAATTACACTTATTATCATTCTTATAAGGAAGAATTACCTATATGGTATCTTATATATTTAAATCTTCGTTATGTATATAAAAAATTTAAAGCATTTTGAATTCTGTATAATTTGCAAAATGTTGAGATTCTGATAAATTATGTAACAATTTTGAACGTTTATAAAAAAATATTGTGTATTTTCAAAACATTTTGATTAGTATATGAACCACTTAGGAGAACCTTGTATTCAGCAGTCAACTTAGTGTTCATAATACCAACCCAATAGTTTGTTTTATTAATTTTTCAGTTGGCCATATGAAAAACTGAATTACTGTAGGTACATAAAGACCAATTAATTTGAAAAATATTGTAATAGTGATGTTGATTAAACGTTGAGGGTGAGGAGATTATAAATTCAAATGTTAGTAGATACTAGCCTACTAAATGTAGGTGTCTTAATAACTATTAAGGAAATTAATTTATTATGTACAAGTATTCACTTCTGGGCTTTGGCTAGCGGTCAAAAGAAAAATTAAGAGAAAACTGGACTTTTTATGCATATCCAATTATAGACAAATGTTGTTTTTATTAGTAAATGAAAAACAAATCAACTTAGAAAATATATTAGATACTTTTACCAAATGTTTATATGATAATTTTTCGTACAAGATAACATTTTTAAAATGTTGACTCTTTTTCAACTATTTATGGTTAGGCAATTTAAAATTGTTATCTTTTTCTTTAAATGTTAGTATAATTGTTTTGCTAGGTCAAAAAGTTTGAGAATTTAATACAAAGTTCCTCCATTAATTAAACATATTTATACCAGTTAAAAAATATCTTAAGTAACTAGTGAAAAAACAATTTGTCCCAAATTAATTTTTAGAGTTGGCCAAACTACCAACTTTGGCAACCCAATAAAATCCTTTTCGTTACGCCCCTGCTTTTATTAAATTGTCAAGCTTTTTTTACACATCAACTAAAGTTATTATACAAAAGAAAACTAAAAAAAGTTGAAAATTCAAAATATACACAATAAAAAAAATTTGAAATTATTTCAAGTCTAGTGAATGCTAATATGAATATTCCGTGAAAATTTCAACCCTCCACAACAATTTATTTTTGTTACAACAAAAAAAAATCAAGTGGTTTTGTCAAAAACAAAGTTTTCCATCCAGTTTTCATTAATTGTTTTTTGTTTTTCAAAATTATTTTGAAATTTACTTTTTATTTTTGATCCCCCGTGTACCTATTAGATTGAATTTCCTAACTGAAACCAATGCAGAATAGCAAATTTGTGTTCAATAGAACCAATCTTTTGTTGTTATTTTTAATATTAGAATGAAACGACTATTATCACACTTCAAGTTTAGTTAACTATCTGTGTTCGTAAGTTGGATTTTTTACAGTATTCCAATACTTATTTTAAAAGTTATGATTCTAGGAGTATGTAAAAAATTACAATTAAAAAAACAAACAAATATAACATTTTTTAGAAAATTCTAAATATAAATACAAAACTGTTAGTTAGATAATAGGTTAATTTACTTAAAAAATAAAACTAATGACACTAGATTGGATCTGCTATACTCAATTTGCTACGTTGTGCTTGGGTTAGAGTAAAAAAAATAAATACTGTACTGACATCCTCGCAGTTAAATATGTTATTTTTTTTTTATGTTGTCTTTTGTCATTAAAAATTCTATATAATATTTAAAAAATGAATTGAGTACTATTTATATCTTCTTTATTGAAGTAAATTATGCGATAAATATACACATATTGTGAAATAGTAATTGTTCACATTTTTAGCCCGTTTGTGGTTTTGAAGGCTGTATTGTTTCTCCACCACGAATTAAACCCCATCCAATAAGTCTGCAATAAAACAATACAAATATTTTATATATAACTGTAGATCAAACAATTATACAGCCAACTTTTCAATTAATAAAATTATTGGTTGATATTATTAAAATGTATTAGCAATTTAAAATTGTATTTACCTCCAATGCTTTTCAACCCGACGACTAAGTGAAATCTTTTCCCCGATTTCTGTACATACTGGTGTAGTTAAACTGATTTTAGCTAAATCGGCTTTTGTAGCTAATACTCTTCCACCGGTGGACAAAGATCCAATATTTAACAACAGCACCTCATTTTTCGATAATCGTTGAACCTGTTTAATAAAATTAAATAAATTATTAAGTTTCGTGTTTAAAATATATAACATATATTTTAACATATACCTTAGCTGCTTTCTTATCTCCTTCTGTACGTACACCTAATAATCGCTTAAGCAAATAGTATGAAACTTCTAACTCAATAAATATATCTGGTAATGCTCCAACTGCTCCTAATACTTGTCCAACAAGACGATCAGCCCTGCACAACGTGGGTTCAATTTTGGTTCCAACACCAATAAGTCCTCCAGGAACAGCAAAGTTCAACTCGTTTTGTTCCGTGTACAAGGAGACAATACGTGAGAAAATTGGCTGACAAGTTAATTTACCTTCACTGTCCTTAGATACTAAGCCAGGGCGTACTTCAATTTCCATTCCAACTTTTAAAACGCCGCGCAAAATACTACCACCAGCAACTCCTCCTTTAAGATCATCCACCTCACATCCAGGTTTGTTGACATCAAATGATCGAACAACAATTAGGCGTGGAGGTGATGTGAAGTCCCTTTCAGGAATAGGGATTTTTTTGTAAATATATTCACATAATACTTCCATGTTGTATTTGAGCTGAGCTGATATAGGTATAATAGGCGCGCCTTCTGCTACGGTTCCTTGAACAAACTTTTGTATCTGTTCCTGTTGTTCTTTGGCTTGTCCTTCTTTCACCAAATCAATCTTGTTTTGCAAGATTATTACATTGTTTAATTTCATGATTTCTATAGCAGCCAAGTGTTCTGATGTTTGTGGTTGAGGGCAAGATTCATTCCCAGCTTAAAAACAACAAAAAATATGTAAAACATAAGAGTATAACTGAATAATAATTAATAAATAAACACAGGTATTTGTAGTTATTTTACCTATGAGTAATAATGCAGCGTCCATAACAGCAGCTCCGTTCAACATAGTAGCCATAAGAATGTCGTGACCAGGACAGTCTACAAAAGACACATGTCTAACTAATTCAAATCTTCCTGGACAACCCGGCCTAGAACAAGGTAATGAGTCATCACGGCCTGATCCACCAGACACAAAACAAGCAGGTCGTGGACACTTATCATAATTGCATTTGTAAATTTTTGCATTGGCATATCCTAAATAAGAAAAATAATGACATAATAGATTTTTTTTTAATTTACCAACATAATTTCAATTTTATTTTCAAGGTAAAACTTTCAATATCTACAAATGTTGATTGTTTATGTTTAGGATAATCATGTCACAGGATAAAAACAATTTATCATAATACATAAATAATTATTAATTAACTTTTATGAAAACCTTTTTAGCGTCATCGGTCTAAAAAAATAGAAACCGCATTAAATTATAAAAAACAGCCTTTACAATTTTTCATACTATTCAGTATTCATACTATTTTTCAATTACTCTTATTACGGAAAATAAAGTCATTAGTTAATTGTTTGCCAGAAAAAATCTTTCTATTGAAAAATAAAGCTAATTGTGGAAGGTTTAAATCTGAGCAAGCAGTCCAAACAGTAAAATGTTTAAGTTGGTAAATGGGGATTTTCTCTCAGACAGTTTTCGGTCTAGTAGAGCATATTCCCCCAGTATATTTTTGATGAGGACATTTTCCCCTTATTTTTTTTTTAAATTTATTATTCACTAACAATATTGAATTTAATATAACATTATTTTTTTTTAAATAAAATATAAAATATACAAAAAAAAATTTATTTTCATAAATATAATAGATTATAAATGTATATGGTTGATCAACTGAACTACTTGAAACAATGAAAATTTAAAAAAAATTCATAATTTATAATTAATAAAAATGATACATTTTGTAAAAAAAACATTTGATTTCTGATTCTTTTATGATTTCGAAACATTGTTTAGCCTTTGTTCATATTTATTTTATTTTTTTGTTTAAAGTGTACTAGTTTGGATATTTAACAATTTAATAATTGCTTGTGCATTTGATTCAAGTAGTTCAGTTGATAAAAAATATACATCTATAATTTATTATATTTATGAAAATATTAGACAATAGGCAAACAAATAATTTTATATTAAATAACAATATAACATTATTAAATGGTAAACTTTAAAAAACATGGGGGGAGGGGAATTTCAATACATTTGGTGAAATTGACAGAATGTGTACTCTCAATTATGTATTTATAATTTTTTGGATTATTGAAGTCTAAATTCCACATTAAATTAATAGAAGATTAAATATCAATAGAGGAATTTTCTAAGTCCTGATCACATTCTTCAACTGTAATAATTTATCCAAAATCATATGTGCTTCCTAACTGTCTTTCATTTTGATTAGTCCTTAAAGCCCAGCCTCATGTACTTGTTTTATAAATAAATTTAATAAATTTACTTTTTTAATTACATTCAAATATTTGATAACCAGCTAATATCGTAATATTCTTATTATATCATAAGCTTATAGATAACCAGATACTTAGATAAAAAGAAATTTGTTTGTACAATGTGTTTGAACATAATTTGGAGTATATGCAAATAATTATGGTACTTCAAGATATTTACTACTTTAATTTTGCAACTAGATTTATATAATTTTACCACAGTTTGAGCACAACTAACTGTTGTTGTCAAAAACTATACAAACAATTTGATGTCAAATATAATGTTAAGCATTAATTTCGGAGTATTTGAACATTTTTAGAACCAACATCGAACCTATTAAATAAATCATACATTTATTATTATCTTGAGGTAGTATTAATGGCACACATAAATTAATATGAGTTCTGAATTTGCAATACATTTTCTAGATAACCTTTAAACACATTTTGTTTACAGGTTCATTATAAATTATAAGTATTTCAATTTTGTTAATAAATATAGCCAAGTACTCAGATACACAAAAACATAGAACACTTCATTGTTTCTATGTATTTTTACCTCAAGACCTAATCTCTGTACTAAATAGAACTGGATGTTAGAAATAAATTAAAATTATTTTCATTGGGTTTCATGCATCAGCAGTATCATTAACCATTTCTGTTCCATCATTTCCAAGAAACATTTTATTTGTATGTACAAGAAGCATATTATCAAATCATGTGACGTTGATTTTTAAAAACTCCACTCTGAAAGTATAGGGTTTGATATTATTGTAATCACGCTCCGAGTTAATACTTCTATGTAAACTGAGTTTAGTCTGAAACTCTCAACAGTGTCTTTAACCATTACATGTAATAACTAAAATTCAGAATATCAAAATTTTTTGAGTCTGTAACACATTTATATTTAAAAACATCTGTCTCAATACAAACATAGTTACATTGTTTAAGTAATTAAATTTAAATATTCATTTCCTTAAGTTTTTTTATGATTTACAATATATTATTATGATCAACAATAAAAACTAATTTAATAACACAACTATTATTATTTGCATGACATCAGTTAAAGATAAATATATTATTTAACCATAATAACATGATGATTGGTGCTTTAAATGTTATCAATAAATTCAAAATGATAACACAAACATTTTTATATAGTAATTCATTAGTAGTTATTATTATAATGATGACAGGGCGGAAGAGTATCCATAAATGGTGATGTATACAATTATATCTATAGCAGATATTTTAAATAATACAATATCCAAAATATGATTTCTAAATTAATACCAATGGAGTAAACTAATCTCCTGACTTTTGATGTTTAATAATTTCAGTACAATTTCAAACTGTAGTCGGTCATATGATTATAAAAAAAATTTGAGGATGAAAGTACATAATATCTGTCATTTAAGGCCATGACTAGATAATGCAAGATTAAAATTAATTTATTATAAGTTAGTTTCTTTACATGTTATAACTTACATAATATATCATAAAATACTTAAATAAATCTTAACTACACTGTATTTAGTATTTACTGTATATTATACAGTGAACACTGAACACTAATACTTTGAAAAAAAATAATGGATTTATTTAATTTTTATAAATTATCGCCATTTTTTTTTTTTTCATTATGTTATTTCCAAAAAAAAATCAGACAGTTAGATGTATAAATGTTTTAATTTTATCCCTCTAAACCAGGGACTGGAACCGACAAAAAGAACCGTTTCTGGAACCCAAAACCCCTTAAAATATTGAGAACCGGAACCGAATTTATATATTTTCAAATAACCAGAACAGGACCCCATATTTTTAAATTAAAATATTTTAATATTAATTTGAAGATAGTAAAGAATAAATAAAATATATACATTTTTGTAATCGTTTAATACTTGTTTTAACAAGAACCCAAACTTAAACTACTAAATTAATTTTCCAACAACCAGAACCTTTAAATAAAAATTGTCATAAACCGGAACCTCTTAATAAAATAATTAAGTACCGAAACCGTAAAAACTAAAAGGTACTAGTCCCTACAGTCTAAACATATAATTGGTAATAAATTAAAAATAACCCTACATTTTTATAAGTTGATTTCCATTAAAATGTAGAATAATATATGTGATTAATTACTCTAACTACAGTTAACGCATCAAAAAGTTTCATGATAAAATTAATAATTTATACATGTCTGAAAATAATGTTGAACCAATAGTATAGGTTTTAATAATTTTATGGTTTATACATTTATGTCAAACAAATAATTATCAATTCAGAAAATCATAACTAATTGTTACAAGCTTATTTTTTTGTAATTAAGATCAATCCATATATGAAGAAAATGCATTATATACTAAATAATATATAGGGAGTGGGACAATGATCAAATGCCCTCTGTTCAAAGTAGAATTAATATAATATAATAATAATGTATATTAATTTTATTAATATAATGTTAATTATATTGAAATAAATAGCAGTATAAAATATAATTAAAGCATATGGTTAAATATTCATAAAATAGGTCAGTTGTAATATTTACCTAATTTAATTGTGATATTTCTTTCGAGTTCATTTTTAAATCGTACAGTTTGAACACCAGAAACAGCTTTTACAATAGTTGATTTTCCGTGCGCTACATGACCAATTGTTCCTGAAAAATATATGTGTATTTTTAATATTATAATACTGTAAAGCAATGAGACAAGCTTGTGATTATGAGAGCAGTATATTTTCAGGTAGGCAATCCGCCAGCAGGTGGATTGCAGACCCTTCAAAGTTCATATGTATTTACATACTGATATTATACTAACTAAACATTAAGAGCCGTATTCATAATCAATGCTTAAAGCCGATAATAGAAAAAAGTTAGTTGCTATCGTGATCGTTAATAGTAGATAGGGTGATAATAACTATCACGGAGTTCATACAGTGACAGTATGCTGCTGCGAAAGCAACTATGTAGCAACCATTGTGTCTTACTAATCATGCGACCGCGGCTTAAGAATAAGTATACTTAGGATATACTTATGACTCAATGAGATTCATAAACGAGACTTTGACTTAACAAAAACTTTTAGTTATTATCACAATTTGTTTGTTTTTTAAATTATCAATATTAGCTTAAGCATTACTTATTCTTAAGCATTCACTATGAATACGGCCCTAAGCGATACTAAACTTAGGTAGTACTTATCAATAATTAGGTACCAATTTTCATTAATTCACGTATAGTAAATACTTTTTAAAAACCTAATAAAATGATATTATGCATGTATTATTTATGGGGCATTAAAACTGAATTATGGAGTAGCAGTTTCTACCCCCACAACCCTTTATCATGAGCCACTGTGTGTACAGGTTCACAGTAACCGAAGAATTTAATGAGAACTACAAAAATAAGAGACCTTATAACTTACCAATATTGATTGTAGCCTGACGGCTGATAACTTCAGGTGAAGATGGTGTGAGCTTAGAGATGTCCTGCAAGGGAATGATGAAAATTAACAGGAAATCATTCGTAATGGCAAACTAAAGTGAATATTTACCAAATGTTCTAGATCTTGCTCCTTGAGTTTTGCGGACAGAGGAGCGTCAAACATGGTGGTTTTAAGCGAAGTGACTATTTTAACGTCCGACGTAATATTAATCGCAGTGGGCAGTGGCTATTCTCACGTCAGACGTCTCTAGCGAAATCGAAACCCATAGAAAATAAAGACTAGTCCCTCTAATACTCTATTGAAATAACTTAATAAGTAATAACGACACTAGCCAAGTAGCAAGTACCTAACCACGATTCATACCAGTGATACCTACCACCTAAGTGATAAAACTTCGGAAATTATGGCGTGATGCTCGCCAGTGATGACCGTGCTCTGCTCTCGGACAAAAAAAACGAAAATATCCCTCGACCTGCAATACAATACCTCCCCAAGGTTGGTCACAGTTGGTCTACTATTCTTCTATTATCTATGCCACGGTCATACATTGGAATAATGGGAGAATTATACATTGGAATATTGGAAGTTCCAAATTGGAACAAAAATATTTTGGGAGAACTTGGCCATTCCCTCTGTGGCTCTGTCACCGTGGATCATACGATATTTTTCTATGGCGTTTTGACGGCAGATGGCGCGACGGCCCTTCACCAATCACCGTTGATCGGAATATGTTGATTGTGAAAATTCAAAATGCGATGGCCGATTGTCGCCAACAGGCAACGGTCTACGACTCCCAAACTTTAAAGTTAGAACTAATTATTATTTATTACTATAGACTACTTATCGATTTCGGCACGTTATCGTGATTTCGCGTTACTCTGACCACTTGGAAGTTGTATTAAAATTGTCATTCGCCGACTCGCCGTGAAACGTGAGTAACCCGTTTCTATTGTGTCAAGTCCACCTACAATTAACTCTGGATAATATTTGTTTATTTTGTCAGACTTTGATCTAAAATGCCACGTACCAAGAGAAGAACCGTCAAGCGTTCGTCTGCCGACATGAACATGACAACTGTGAATGCAACGATGGCCAACCAATCGAAAAATATGAAAGAAATTTTAAGCGAATTTGATTGTGAAAGTAATATGAACACAATAAATTATTATTATTATTATTTTTATTGACGGAAAAAAATTTCATTTACAAAACAATATGTATATAAAATTGTATAGTGACTAGGTGGACTATAGTCCCCCCAATTAGTGGTTCATCCCCCTAGGTTAGGTTTAGTCTATGCTTTTAAATTAACTTAAAATAATATATACTATAATATCATTATTATCTTATATTTTGTTACACTAACTACCGGGCCATCGCTGATTATCGAAAACAGTTGATGTTCGGCGCTGTGCAGTGAAAATAATGTTATCGCCAAATCGCTGAATCTAACCTAATAACCCAGCAGCTGATCGTCCAATAATTATTATTCCATGTTTCATTTCTTTATCATCAAGACACCAAACGTTTGGTTTTAAAAATAGAAATATATATATTCAGTACAAATAAACATAGGATTGACTTGCATTTATCATAAGAGTAGGTACATTGAAATAAAATGTTTTTTATTTGAAAGCTTACGTCAATTTTATTAATCCTACGTTTATTTGTATTAAGAATATTAATATATAATGTATAATAATATAATAAAATAAAGCTTTTATAATTTTTTTTTTTTTTTTTAGGTAGGTGCTCACTTTTTTGTTATAATTCAATAAATATATATTGCATATTTATTGATTGACTATGTACATTTGAACTATTTGTATAAGTTTATAACTGTAATGACTATTTATGTTGGAATTCAATACATTCAATATTAGCATAGTTTAATATAAATAGTCAAGGACTTAAGTCCCCCTTGTTAATTAGGGTATGCTACTCCCATGGTAGTGACATTGATAAAATAGAATTAGGTACAAATAATATACAATTCACATTCAATTATATAACAAAGAATATATTATGATTATAATTTTACAGCCATAATTAGTTTTTAACTAAAATTAATATCTATAGTGTTTCCTATAGTATCAGTATATTCGTAGGGGATGATTTTAAGAATGTTTTATAAACATTATTGACTAAAAAACTTTCTTGATTTCTGGTGGATTTGGTATTAATTCAAAAATGTAATCGTTCCAGTTAATAAGGGCAATCTATAGAGTTATTTAATAGTTTTAATAAAAATTAATAATTAAGGATATTTCTCATTATATTTAACGATTGTATATTAAAATAAGATAATAAGATAATATTCCATTATAATCTGAATATTGTGGACGTTCTACTTTAAATTTAAATACTAAAAAACAAAGAAAACGATTCTAAACAGCTTCGAGATTTTGAGTTACCCCCATGTTATTTGAAGACCAAATAAGGGATGCATATTCTAATTGAGATCTGACAAATGCAAAATAAATACTTTTAAAGGCATTTAAATTATTAAAATTTGTACAAGTTTGTGTAATGAAAACAAGATTTTGGAACCCTTTATTGGTTATTTTATCAATGTGTTCATTAAAACATAGTTCTTAAGTCGGTAAATGATTCCACTAGTTCAATAGAAACATTGATAAATTTACAATCAAAATAACCATAAGATTTTTTTATATTAAATGATGATATTTTGCATTTGTTGATATTGAGGTTCAGATCATTTAAATAACACCAAACATTTAAATCATCTAGTAATTTAATACAATCATGAATAGAATAATTTTTTTAAAATATTTGAGTGTTTTATAATCGTATTTATATCATTTATAAATAGTAGAAATAATGTGGATGAAAGATCTTTAGGAACACCTCATTGTACCTATCATCCAACCTGTGTGTTTAATATATGTTTGTTTTTTCATTTTTCAGAACAAAATATTGAAGATTATTTTTCTGAAATATTTGATACCCAAAGAAATTTAATTGAAAATTCATTTTTAATGACAAAAATGAATTTGGGTGACTCACTACATTGTAATCTTTATGACATTGTGAGTTTCATAACATTATCCATTAACTCTATTTCATTATAGAACATAATACATTATAGATACCCATTACCTAGCATTGAATTTTAATAAAATAATATTACCTATACTATCAAGTATGTATAGTATTACATTGAAGTAATCATTATTTATTTTTATAGATTTGTAAACAGTATCCAACTAAATCCAACAGTGGAACTAAAAAAAACCTGGAACGACCTTCAAGGCCAGTTACCAAACCTACAGTAAATAAGACAACCAGACAAAAAAGTAGTAAGTTCCTTATTAAAACAAAATATTTCAGAATTTATTTTCTATTTTTAATTTTTCAATTGAAATGATTGCTAAATTTTTTTTATATTGATCTATCTTGATTATATTTTGGCTCTATCCGCCACTATAGTCACTGATTTAAGCTTTATGAAATATTATTAACAAAAAGTTGATAGATGTTATTTGGATATCTAATAGATTTGAACTTTTCTAAATGATTTATGTGAATAAATTTGATTTTGGCTTTGTCATAGTATTAATAGTTTAAATTTTTAAAAGGGAACTGCTCTGCTGTACAGTAAGAGTCTAGTGTATTTGATCATTGAGAGCAATATTATGGATGCAATTTTTAATTTAAATTGTTTAATTAATTCATTGTACAAGGTGAAAAATTAATTTATACATAAACATAATAAGTATGTCATTGATTATCCATGGTAAAAAATATATATTATGTAGGGGAATATGGAAACAATTACCCAATGTCATGGAGCCTTCTAGTTCAACTTTAAATACTAAGATAAAGAAGTAGGACTGATGTTTAAACAATAAAATCTAATTATAAATTGTTTATTTTTTTCAGCGTCTAGTTCAACATCTAAGACCAATGGTTCTGCCACTGTAACAAAACACCGTAGTGCAACACGACATGTTGATGATAAGCCAGTATTAACAGAAGGAATGGAATCTAGATTTAAAGTAAATATAATTTTCAAATAATTAATTTAGATAAATTAGGTATTTAATATTTATTTCAAGTCTTGATAGCAGAATATATTATAATACTCTTACCAATCATGTAGAACATTTACATGGTTATATGTATATTTTTATTACTTTTTTCTTGATTTGTATAAGTTTTTAACTGTTCTTAACTTAATAAATTATAAATTAAACAGTACATAGGAATAAATATAAGGGGAGTATGTCAAAATCAATATGTTATCTAATTTCTGTATTGATTGTTACGGACAAAAATAACTTTTTTCTAATCATATAATTATAAAACGGATCAGACAAGGACGGTTTATCGAGGAAATTTCCTATTTCTTGATAGGCCGATCTGCTCCTGAGGGTAATAATGGAAAATAGATAAAATTGACTTGTTTTTTCCACACACCATTGCCCAATTATTTCAATGTTATTGTAAATTAATTCTTTCATTATTGTAAAATCAATATTACCAATTATAATTTTAATTGTGTTTAATATTTAAAGATATGATAGAATAATAATTATATTTTAGAAATTAATGTTAACTAATAACTAGATATTTTTTCTTAATACTCTATTTGTATCTGAGATGATCATCTTAAGAGGCCTCACATTTGTTGTCTCTGTCTTACTAAGGCATAACATACCAAATTTTAAATTGTGCATTCAGAAGTTCCAATCTTGTGTTGTTCCTTAATATAAGAGTGAATTGACCTATTATGAAACTCAAAGGTTTAAAACATTATTTGTGTTGCTGGAACTTCATGATATTTCAGTTTTTTAGAGACTTATAAACGTATTTAAAAAATACATATATTTAAAAATGCTATAACTTGCTTATAAATTATAATTTTGTACAAAGTTAGAGAATACAGATAATGTTCTTACCTTTAAGGGTCCCGGTGCCAGTTTTTCAAATTTTCTACAATTCTATAAAACTTGAAAATTAAATTTTATATTTTAGTTGCTACCTCAATTATAAGACTTTTCCACTAATCTACTACCCGATACCTATTTAGGGGGGGGGGGGTTGATAGGGTGTATTATATCGAAAAAATGACTTTACGGGAATAACTCTCAAGCTTGTAGAATTGTCAGATTTTGATGACTATTTTTTTATCTGAAAGAAAAAGACTTCCTACAGCCCGCATCGATCTCTGATTTTGTATTTTTTTTCAAATAATTGTATTAAATTATTTGTAAAAAAAATGCTTTTTATCTTGTATTGTTAGACATAATATTATAAAGTTTGAGAATAAAATATTGAAAAACAGAGATCGATGCGGGCTGTAGAATATTTCCCTGTATAATATTTCTTAATATTTCTGGTTATAATAATATTTATATTTTATAATATATAATTGGTTCTTGTTTGAAATTTTTATCGTATTTTATTTTGCGATAAACTTAATCGGTCTTTCGTTTTCGTAAATTGCTTGATTAGTTATTCCACAACAGTGGTTGAGTGTTTATGTGTCATTGTGTCTGCTGTAAGTTACTAAATCTGCGAAAGGAATAAATCTAATAATTGAAAGCACTTATTCTGGGCGGGTTGTCAGGATCATAAATATACTCAAATTAATGGTATCAATCGGTTTATTAACACAATAAATACGATAACAACTTTTAACGTAAAAGCTTTTGAGTAAAGTGGAACTATCTAATACAAACGGCAGTTGTGCCCCGGAGCGGTACCTCGCTTTCGATGGTGGCAACAAAACAGGACGAGTACTGTTTTTAATTCTTTTATTTCTAATAACTTACACATATATATATATATATATCAATTTATACGTATATAGGTGTGCTATTAGTGGGCCTCAAAGATCTTTTTTTTTCAAAACTAGTGGTCCTCACAACTAAAAAGGTTGGGAACTACTGCTATATTGAATAAGTATAATAGAACACAAACGGGTACGACATCCTCTTAAATCTCAACTAAAAATAATCATATATTATTAGTCTAGTTTTATTACTATTTAGTTTTCAAAATTACTAAATTTTAAGCACATACCCATATTTAATTAGATCATATTTAGCATAAAAAGCATATAACGTATAAGACCTTTTTTGATTGACTATTGCTGCTATTTTTAAATTCTTAGATGCATATTTAGAAATATTTTTCTTATAAAATAATGTTAATGTATTAATTTTAATCTTATTAATAAAAAAAAATTATTTCAGACTCCACTTAATCGACTACCTGTACTTGCTTCAGCAACAGTTACACCAAAAGTAAATATGCATGAACCAATATCAATGATGCGGCGTCCAAATCAAGGAGAGGTTGCACTTTCAATGACTGGAAGTCCACTCATGGTTTCGTCTGTTTCTAGGGATGATATGGCCACAGTCAGTGTACCATTAGCCAACGGAAATGTAATTACAGTTTAAAAACTATATCTGACATAGAAATATTGTACTGAATATTTTTTTTTCTTTTTAGATTCTTTCAATATTACCTAGAGCTGGTGCTACTATGGACATATCATTTGATGAACAGACTAAAAGTGAATTACTTCTTCTCAAGGGTAACATTGAAGGGCTGTTGAAAATGAATAGAGGTCTGTGAGTACACAATAAGAATATATTTTCTACTGATCTGGAAAAATCACAGAAGATGTTAACTGTACAATGTAATGACTACAATAATTTAATATTTTAATATTAATTAGTATATTTTTCAATATTAATATATGTTTTAGTTATTAATAAATGAATTGGCTCTACCCAAACCAATAATGAAATAACATTTACTAACAATATTCCAGACTAAAAAAAAAAAATGTATTATAGATGGATTAATTATTTAAATGCTATTAAACATGAAAAACAAATTCACATCGATACATTTGAGGTACCGCGATTACATATTGTAATAATATTACTAACACACTAATATTTTCTGTACTGTTTATTTTTAATGTTAAATCTTATTCTTGTGTTTAATTTTTTTTTTTTTTTTACCCAATGTATATTTAATTATATACACCTGCAAATTTATATAAAAACAGTGTTTTCTGGTTTGAGTTAGCTCACTATTGTAATTTTAGGTAAGAATTGTATTAATTGAAAAAATGTAGTTTAAAAAGGACTTAATAAATTTCTTATGTAAAATGAAACTATATTATAATAAAATATATAGAAACTTGGATGATGTTTTAAATTTAAATATTGGCTATATTTCTTTACCTTAAAAGGATGCTACCCATGCATTTGTTGTTCCGTCATACACACACGATATAAGAAATTTTCGTTCACTAGTTTCAATAGTATGCTGTTAGTTTTGATATTAGAATAATTTGACCTATCATCAATTTTTAAGTTAATAACATTATCTGTGTTTAAGAGTTGGCTTTTTTTCGATATTTTAATTTTCAAACAAGATATTATGATCATTTTTAATTTTTGATATTTCACATATCCATATTTTGTTTGAAAATGAAAATTTCTAGATTACAATAATCAATTGTTTAAAACATTAAGAGGATGTCACACCCACATGTGTTGTCTTACAAATGTACAACATAGCAAAAACTGTTTTCTGGGGGACAACTTTTTTTGCACCATATTTGTTGTAGAACTACCAAATTTTCACAACATTTAAAGAAGAAATTTATCTGTGTAGCGGCGTGTTCTTTTTTTTTAATAGCACTATCCAATCATTTTTTATAAGCAAATGAAAAAAAAAAAACAAAATGTTTAGAAGCAAATAACTTTTATTGTATTTATGTTATCTAAAATATAGACATTCTGTTGCATAGATAATTTTCCACCCTATATGTTTAGACATTTTGGAGCCACTACTACAAACACAGAAAGATAAAAGTTGTCCCGCGCAAAACGGTTTTTGCTATTGTACATTTGTAAGACGGAGACAACACATGCAACATGCAGGTGTGGCATCCTTAAGTCTAAGGCTAGGAGGTAAATGCAATAAAAAAATTGGAAAATATGCATTTTAATTACCAAAATATGCAAAAACTTTTTTATTTTTTTACATAAAAATAAGAAACTAATTGAAATGGAACCTAGCCACTTCTAAAACTTATTACCATCTTGGTGACCATCTGTTTAGGGTGTATCTTTTAGTCATGATAGAAATAAAAGTTATATTTTCTACTAATGCATTTGTACCACACAGAACACAGAATGATACTCGTTTATCCACGGTGCCTGGGTGGCAGCTGTATCTCTATTTAGAATTGATGCTGATGAATGGTGTTTATCAATAATTTTAAGAGGGTGGATTTCAACTACCTAATGAACACCAATATAATTTTTCTGATACCAAGTATCTGGCCATCAGAGGTAAAAGTTTTGTTGAATTGAAATACAAATGTCTACGGGAAGGTTGCACCATCAATAACTGAAAGCCCACCCTTGGTTCCATCTGTTTCTAGGGTACTTCATAGGCACATTCAGTGTACCATAGCCAAATTTAATTACAATTTTAAAAACTATATGAGACGGACATTTTAAACGTATACTAGTATAAGGTCTATGGCTAACAATATATTTTCTACTTATCTATAAAATTACAGAAGTCGTAAACTATAGGTAAAATGTAATGAATTCAATAATTAACATTTTGTCCTATTCTATTATTTTAAAGGTAATCAAAAGATATAGGTATATAATATATATTAAATAAAATATATTTCTGTTGACAGTTGATATTCTTGTACCTTGTACAATGTTTAAATAATATACATATTATTTATTTTTATTTTTATTAATTAACACGCGGCACTTAGACCATTGGGTGGTTTTTAACTGTGGTGGAGGGTACTGTAGGTTTTTGTAAAGATGTGTGTTTTAGTTTGGCAGAATTTCATATTGGGCACCCGTAAGTTACTGCCATGCCCAGTCAGGGCATGGCAGCCTCTCTCCAGACCGATGTCTTCCTGGAGAAAAGTGCCGCCCGTGACCGATATTCGAACCATTGCAACTGACACCTTAGTCTGCTCGGCCACTCCGTCCCCCAGTATACATATTAATTAGTGTAGGATGAAGGCATGTTCATGGATATTATTAACATAACTCTGATATTTACTAAACACAGTAAAATAAATTGTTTATTACAAGGTCATTAGTCATAACAAATCAAACAGCTCAAAATTGGTCTGTTGTAACCTGAGATAGCTTTAAACATTTTTACGATAAAATAAAAAAATTATTTACAAAATACTAATTTTTAAATTTTATATATTGTTATCAAAATTGCTCAGTATAATATTCAAAAATAATTATAGCCCTTTTTAACGTGGTTTCAAATATTAAAAGGAAATTATCAACAATGTGAGTATCTCAGAAATAAACCATTTTAATAAAATTGCTATCCTTATTAAATAATGAATAATATAGGAACACATTTGAAAATTTAAACTGAATGAAAAATATTTAAGTTTTTGTTACAAAAACAATTATTAAGTAAATACTAAATATACATATTTTATCATCAAAAAATTTTCTTTTTAGTTCTTAGTCGAGTTGCGTAATGTTTGATGCATTATTTGAAATATATTCAACCGCATCAAGAGCAATATGTACCGGTAATTTTGCAGTGAATAAATATATAACTCTAATGGTTTTCTGAAGTTTCCATTTTGTCCATCCAATTTCTTTGCTTTGATCAAAAACATCACTGTCTTCTTCTTCAATTAAAGAATCTTCTTCCATAGAGATATTTTGCTTTTTTAAAATTTTAGAATATTCCTTACACAACACACTAACTAATGACTTTATAAAATTATTTATGTTTCTCTGTATAATTTCACCATAATTGGTGCAATTATTTAAACAGTGTTTTGCATCTTCACTAGTCAACGGTACTAGACCTGTATCACTGGCCTTCTCAATGGCTGATAGAAATTCGTGTTTAGAAGAATAATAGAAAAATAAATACATATTACGTAAGACATGAAATGTTGTCATAGGACCAATTGGTTCTAGCGTACCGAATTTATTATTGTTTAATTCCTCCAAATATGAGTATATGCGGTCATAAAAGTTTTTATTTATGATGTTACACTTATCATCAGTCATAGCACGACCAAAAACATCATAATAATTGTAAATAGCAAAACTCAGTATATTATTCATTACACCGTATGCTGCCTTATTTGATGTCAAGCTATAGAGTTTAAAAGAAACTTCGGGTTTATTTTTCTCCAGTGTTAATTCTAGTGTTTTATCAATTATAGCTGTAACAGTTTCCATATCGAAGATATTATGCAAAATACTAATTTCTTTCATATTATCATCTAAACACCCAAACATCCAATCACACATGTTCCCATCAAAAGATGTTGCAAGATCTGCAACACACTTGTGAAACAAGTTTTCGGTCAGAGTCGGACTTTTTACATTTCTTAAAAAATAATAATAATACGTTGCATAATGAGGATGGGTTGATTTAAACTCGTTACAAAATAATAAAATCAATCTGGTATAATTCAGACGCACAAACTTAACATCAACATTCTCATTAGATAAAAACGGGGCTTGTAAATATTCAGGAGTGGCTAATAAATGTTTTTCGTTCAAAGCGATGGCTATATGCACTGCGTGATTGGAAAACTCGACATTGCGGTATAAGAAATCTATAGCGGTTTCAAACTGTCCAATCAGAAACAATAGCTCAAAGTATACATGAGGCTGTTCCATGTAAGGTTTACCATTGTCCAAAATATATCTTTGTAATGAGCAGTAATCTAATCCGTTTGAATCTTCCATGTACTTGCTCGCAAAATGTTCAACTAGTAACATCCATAGCTTGTCTTCAATTGTTTTAGAGACAGCTTTTTTTTCCATATTGGCTTCTACCATACCCAACAATGAGAATATTGTTTTCCTGAATGCATTATCATACGCTGGAAGAGTTCTGTAATATTTGTTTAATGTGACGCCAATATTGGAAGCATTGCATTCTGCAAAATTAGCTTCTTTCAGGTGAACAAAAACATTTAGTAGATCATCTAATGCTAAACCAGATTTTTGAATGAAATAACTAGCAACATCCATTCTTCCACATCTTAAACTGAAGTAGAGCAATGGCCAAATTGATTGTTCGTCTACATGAAAATCATTTTGTTGTGTTGCCGGTCTGCCTGTGTTCATAAATACATAAGAGCTTATAATAGCCGCCATGTAATTTCCATCATTAGCAATATTCAAATGTCTGGTCTCTTTTACAAGAAAAGCTTGGTATTTATCTTCTAAATAGCTCTTAGCATTTTTAACTAGTTTTGTTTGATTTTCTTCCGAAAAACGTTCATTAAATGATCCATATGGTGATTTTTGTGGAATTATATTGTACATGTACTTAACTACATTCCAAATATGTGCTACTGTTGCGTTATTAGCTTTACTCTTATGTATGGTTTCCAAAAAATATTCAATCAGTTCTTTGTTCATATTACCATATTCTATTTCCTTGATGTAGTTTTGGACATCATCAACAAAAGGAAAATTACCAACTGACTCATTTGGACTATTTAGGCTGGGATCAAATGTAAAATATGTATTTTTGGTAGTTAATAAGTTCTGAAGACAAAATGATACATCATATGAATCTGATGCAAACTCATTGTAAACAATACCTTTTTTAATGTTTTTCCAACTCATTGGAAGATCTTGTAAATAATTATCATCATCTTTGTTATCATTCGCTTCTAATTTATTGATGTAGTCTTCAATGTGTCTCCCCATTAAGGACTCTACACTACTTGAATAGTCCATCACTGGTTTAGAATCACATGGTGTGGTAGCATTGTCACGGTATGTACCTAATTTTTTAAGCACATTAGAATAGCCAGAAAGATCTAGTCCACGATTGGCTAGAAATTCTTTGGCACATTGTTCATCACTCCCTCTATTTGATTGTTTAGGAGCATGGTCAGCATTTCGGCATAGCTGACGTAATGATTTATGTATTTTTGATACTGGCTTAAATGTATCAGTATCCTTGCAAAGTTTTTGCCCTTGCAACAGTAGATATTCTAGATCAGAAGGTGCCATATTTTCAAGTTCTAAAATAACAAGGAAAATATCATTAAAATTATGTTAAATTTAAAACCAATAAATAACAAAGATCTTCTAAAATGTAGTCCTAGTTATTTTAACGTTAGGTAGGTATTTAACACAATATTTTTATAATGAAATTTTTTAAATAAATGTAAATATTTTATTGTTGTGTATCTCATCAATAAATGTAAGTTGTAAGCCTTTTAACACTTTTTAATTAAGGAATACCTAATAATTACCTACTTACTGTATAATATAATATGAAAACTTCAATAAGTTATTATTGTGGCTCGGATTTGTATGCATTAAAAACAAGGTTCATGGGAAATGAAAAATATGTTTAAAAAATGGTCAATTATTAATTTAATTAAAGTTTAAAATATAAAAACTGTACCTATATAACACATTTAACCCATTAGCGCCGTGCGTTGCCATATGGCAACAAAGGTAGACCTATTTTTAGAAGCTAATTTCTCATTGGGAATTTGACCAATAAAAAAATTTAAAAAAAAAAATAAAAAAATTTTGGCGCTAATGGGTTAAGCATTTACCCTTCGTGATCTTAACAAACAATTACCATAATTTATGATTTAATGTAATAAGTAATAGTCAATGTCGATAATTTTTATTTTTGATCTTGTATCATGCTAAGTGATTAAACCATGGTATTATTTTATTTTTCTTAACATCATTTATCATAAAATATTTACTAAATTATAACATACACTCTATAAGTTCTATACTTTTATCACAGGCTTCCCTACTCTTAATTTGCAAAGACCATTTTACATACTTTGTTTCTTGTGAACATATTTGCGTATTGTATATTTTTTTTTTTTTGTACAAATTATAAATGTAATATTTAAAAAAAAAAAATGTTATAACTTATAAGACAACAAAATATGCAATAAAAAGACAAATATGACAGAACATTTGTGAAAAAATATACCAAAAATTAAAATGTTAAAACTCTTAAATGAAAAATGCATATGGATATTATATAAAATGTTACCTAGTTAATTTAAATTTAACTATACTAGCACAGATTCTATTCTATGTAAAAAAAACTAACTGAAAATAATAAGAGGACGTATTGATAGATACCTATAAAAATAATGTGTAGGTAAGTACATTAATACAGTTATATTATTGTTATGGACTATGGATAAATAATTTATTTAAAAATGCATTGAACATTTCTTTTCTACAATAATATTTTGGTAACTTAAATGTTTGTTTATAATTAATTGGTAACAAGCCACAACGAGTTGAGATGTTAATAACAAGAGTTGTGTCTTATATCATACTGTCATAGGCTAAATTTATTGTTCCCATTGAATTATATTTATTGTGTGTCAACGCAGTGGCGTATTTAGGATTTTGTCATGGGGGGGGATATGATTTTATCCAGTACTTATCAACTCACCCCCCTAACTTTAAATACTTAAATATAAAACTACGATTTTACTACAATTTTTTTTATTTTTATTTTACAAAACAAAGTCTAGTTTTCTAGATGTTTTGGACAATTGAAGGGCTCTGTGCAATAACCAGACAGCTCCGTTTTATCATTTTTTTCAGGAAGCACATATTTAATGTTTAATATATATATTTAAGTGAAGAATAATAAAAAGAAAAATTATTTTATATACTTAAAATAGTGATAAAAACTGTGGTACCCTTAATTAAGTTGATACATGAATATTTTTTACACTTTTAGCCACAAATAAGAAATTTTTCTTGGAGTTGTCTTGTTTATTGCTCGGAGTTATTAAATCTTTTTTTTTTATTTTTTTTATAATGTAAATATCTTACTAAGAATTAGTTTTTTTTATTTAACTGAGTTAATAATTATCATGTAATTATACTATCAAACAGCATACTTGAGTTTTAAGAAAAAAAAACTAAACCTGTACATGATTTTAAAAATAAACAAAAAAATAGTTATAATTTCTGGACAATAAACAAGATAACTCCAAAAATGATTTATTGTTTTTAGTTTTAACTCTGATAAATATACAAATAAATGTATTAAAATAAGCTTAGTAAGTGTAGGTATAGAAGTCATAAGTTTTTCCACTAATAATATTTAGCTATATATAGTTTAAATATATTACTTTATGAATTTTGTTTATTCTTCAGTAATATTTCTACTTTAACCACTTAGTATTATGTTAACTGAAAAATTAAATTGTTATTCTCCTAAAAATTAAATTGCTCTCCTCAGTCCTCACTCTTTTGACGGCTCCCGGACTATCGTCTAATTTAGATTTAAAAAAAAAAAAAAAAAAACTCAACTTAAGCCTTGGGGGGGATCAAACCCAATGATCCCCCCCCCCCCGTAAATACGCCACTGTGTCAACGAGAATTGAAAAGTAGTAGCTATATATTTTAATTTTTACCTGCAAGTCGCAATACAAATCAAAATGGTAGGTAATTTTCGTTTTCGATGATGAATATTTTTCTTAACAAATTGAACCCCAAATTTGGGTTGAAAATTTGCAGTATTTAAACGAGTAGCAGTGGTTGACCGAACCAACATCCAAAAGCTTAAATAACATAAAACGATTTTAATTTGTGGAGCCGGGGAAGGTCCTCTTAAATAAACATTCAAAATTTCACGTTAACGTTTTTATCAACGGTAGCAAGAAAATACCACGGCTATAGATAATATATTATTATCTATAGCCACGGACTAAAGGTGGATTCACACTGCTCCGTGATCCGTGATCCGTGATTTCCGGAAAAAAAATCTGTGATTTCTCAAAATTATAAATTTTTCATTTTTGCGGTGAACATAGTGGTAACTGGTAACTGGTAATTGGTTTATTGTTATCACGATCACAAAATCTTTATCACCTATCTGTTGTCAGTTATTTATATTTAAAAATATAATAATTCACTAAACTTAGACAATGCACTATAATAGTCTACACTCTACAGTAGAACTTGTAAGTGCATTGTACAGTTCAACATTTGACCAGTGAATACTACTATTAGTACAATTTAGCTCAACTATTCAGTTGTAAATTGTATTATAATGAATAGGAATTATGAATATGAAAAAGCCTTGTGGAGAAGAAAAGTGATAATAATTTGTGCAATGAGACTACAACTGGCAAAGAGGCAAGTGTACAATCTAATAACTATTCCTCATTACCTCGTCTGCATATTTATTAAATGTTATAGAATATAAAATAAATTTAATTTGATAGGAATTCCAAAAAGAGATGGTATGTACGGCCAATTTTTCAAGAAAGAAGGAACTTGGGTCACCACACTTTGTTAGTTGAAGAATATAAACTCAACAACTCTGCTAAGTTTTATAATTTTATGAGAATGAGCTCTTCCAATTTTGAAGATTTACTTAGTATGGTTGGTCCATTAGTGTACCGAATTCCAACACGACCTGATGTTTTGTCTCCAGGCGAAATTTTGTCTGCAACTATAAGGTAATTGCCTCATATACATTGTGATTTCTTATACATGCTCACTCCTATTTTTCTCTTAATATTACATTTATTCAAATTCTGATTTTTAGAATTTTTAACTATTGGTAGTAGGTAGTGGCGTAGCAAACTTTAAATCATATGGAAGCGAACAAATTATTTATGACCTACCCCACCTAAACAGAAATTTACTGGCTACGTGCCTGATTGATAGATCAATGTTCAAATCATCTAAGCCCCCAAATCTACCTAACCCATTGCCATAGTCCATAGACATATTATCCTTAATACACAAAGTTATATAGCTCAAAAACTACTCGCTCAAATTTGAAATCAGAATTTGAATATATAAAAAAAGAGCTTAAAAATTAGGTGAGCATGCTAATAAAATCACCCTGTATATATTATTGTATAGATATAAATTATCACTGTAAATATATTGCTTTCAGTAAAATAACTTTAATGTTCAAAAAGTTTATAATTATTAATTATGCATAGGTATTTGGCTAGTGGTGATAGCATGTCAAGTATTATGTATGCTTTCCGAATAGGAGAATCAACAGTGTCAATTATTGTTAGAGAATGTTGTTTGGCAATATGGAAAGTCTTGAAAATAAAAGTGAATTATATTTTATAAAACAATAAACTATAAATATTCCAATAAAAAAAAAATGATGTTTTCATATTATTGGTTGAACAGAACTCAGTTTATGAAATTTAGGTTGTCATCATTCTATAGAACAATTTTGAAATTCAACTTAAGATCAATTTTTATTATTTTTTAGTTAGACAATAGACATGTATATAACCTTACATCTTTTACAATTTAAATTATATTTGTTTTCAATAATCTAGGTTTTATTTACCCCAAGTACACATGGTTGGATACAAATAGCAAATGAATTCCATAATAATTGGAACATGCCTAATTGTGTAGGCGCTATGGATGGAAAACACGTTGTACACCAGGTGCTTATCTAAATAATAATATCACTTAAATAATAATTATCTTAAATATTAAAAATATACTTATATTTTAAAGGCATTTGCAAATACTGGGTCCGTGTACTACAACTATAAAGGTGCTCATAGTATAGTGCTTCTTGCTGTTTGTGATGCCGATTACAACTATTTATTAGTTGACATTGGTGCACCAGGTCGTAATAGTGATGGAGGCGTATTTAGGCAAAGTACTTTGGGTAAAAAAATTATTTATAATGATATTAAATTTCCAAACCCCACGCCGATCGATACCGCAGTTGGACCAATACCTTATTATATAGTGGCAGATGAAGCCTTTATGTTACTGCCAAATGTTATGCGACCTTATCCTGGCCGAGCTAAAGGAAATTTACCAGTCGACAAAGCAATTTTTAACTATAGGTATGTAACCCAACTAACTATTTAAAATATAAATAACTAAGTTAAAACTATAACTGTAGATTAAGCCGGGCTCGCAGATGTATTGAGAACACATTTGGTATTATGGCTGCCAAATGGCGAATCTTTCGTCGTCCAATTATAGCGGGAGAAAAAACAGTAGTTGCTATAGTACAAGCAACAGTTGTACTACACAATTATATTAAAAAATATGAGAAAAACCAAGGTATAAAGCTTTAAATAATAAATTCTTCTTGTAAAATGACTAATAAGACTAATAATAGTAATATAAAATATGTGTGTGTGTTAATAGGCATTTTTATGTATTGTCCTCCACCACAAAATGACCATAATATCACTAGAACTTTTGAAATCAATGGAGCATTGGAGCCAATTGGTCCTGTAGGATCTAACCATTATGGGATTGATGCCAAAGAAGTCAGGGAAAAATTAAAGTTTCATCTTATGAATGAAGGCAATGTGGAATTTCAATATGATAAAATATAATAAAAATATTATTAACGAAATGAAAATATAACTTTTATTAATGAAAAATGTATTGCTAAAATTTAATAATTGAGTTCACTGATGACTGTGGAAATAAATTCACTTTGTAGCCTTCTTTTTGTGTTTGTTGGTAAGTCGGACATCAGACTTCCCAAGTACGCACAGAAGGATTCGTCGCCACTAAGCTTTTGAAGTGGTGGTGGGCTCTTCGGTCTTGATGCTTTTAATTCTTCTAGCAACGATTGTTCAAAAACATCCGTACCAACTAATGATTTTCCTGAAGTTTTTGATATTGGTATAAAACAATATAATACATTATAATATAGTAATATCTAAATTGATTTGTTACTTTTTTTTGAGCTATGTCCAGCGGTTGATTCATTGTCCTTATTTAAGTTGTTGATGGCATTATTATCTGGTTCAAATACTTCAATATTAGAAATAGTACTTGTAAAAAAAAAAAAAGTTTTATTTAACTAATACATTGTTTTGGCCTAGTTTAAAATGTTTAAAATGTATATATAATTACTTATTTTGTACATAAACTTCATCTAAAAATGTTAGACTTTTAAAATGCATCCATTGTTTTAATTGTTTTCCACCTTGTGCACCACTTGGCTTTATCAGTTTGGATTTTTCTCTGCGGTACTGTTCTTTCAAGTAGCCAAATTTTTTTTCCAACTGTTTAGTGTTGTAAAGAGACCCACCTTAAGGTATACAAAATCTTTAAAATATTACATGTATTACAAGCGTTCAAGAAAAAAATTAATATGAGTTGGTTAAGTTAAAAAAACATTAAGGACATCAAGATTAAACTATAAGCTAATAGTTAACAAACAATGATTAACCCTAAATGTTTGAAATTATTATGGAGAAAAATATTAAGTTATATCAGTTAAAAAGAAGTTTACATCATCGTAGGTACCTATATGCAATGGGAAATTGGTGGAGAATGCGCACCGCCGGACATAAATTGGTATATTCTCTTTTGGGACAGAGTGTAGTTAGATATATACAATCATCATATATAGTTTCACTGGAAAAATTATAAAGACACAAAGTAGGTACAGAAATCCCAGCCTAAACAAAATTTAAATTTAATATTCAATACTTACAATTCAGTACATTTATTATTTCCATCCATAATCTGTGAATAATTTGCGGGTATCTTTCAGCTTTTGGAAGCCTAGCATCCCAAAGAGGTCTTCTTTTTTCAACCTCTATAATCAATTGAGTACTGAAATCTAATAGTTCGGTTTCCTCTTCAGGCTCTTTGTCTTTATCATCATTAAATTCACATTCTTGCATCAACTCCTTAAAGGAGCTTGTTGTGGCAACGGTCCGAGGCTTTATAGAATGACATTTTGGCATCTCTATTTAATAATATTAATAATTCTGTATATTAAAGATATTAACACTTACCTACTACTATTACATTAAAATTGTATACATTATATTAAAGATAGGCACAACTAATAATAAAACAACAGTTTTGTATTTATTGATTATTTTTTCTTCAAAATAATCAAAATATAAGTTACATTTTGAATATTTGAAGTAAAAATGATTAATGGTTACAAAATAGTTGTTTTATACCTATACTTTAAATAGAGGAACAGGTAGGTACTAATACTCTGTTCCATGAGAGATCATGCCGGTTCTGCGCATCCCCCTACGTCACCCTGCTGTCGAAACTGGTTGCCCCATGACGGGTGTGGCATAGGGGAACCAGTTTTGGTCGGTGCGCGGCATGATCTCTCGTGGAACAGAGTATAGCAATTTTATTCCCAGAAAAAACATAAGTAAGTATCTCCATTGTGTATATGACTAAGTACTAGGTACCTTTATCAATTGTGGTCACAACTTATACACAACTGATATATTCATTATATTATAAAGGCGGAATGAGAATTTGATCATTTACTTTACAAAAATAACTCCAGTGATTATTGTCCAATGCAAAACATGATTTTTTAAAGAAAAGTATCATTAAAAATTGATTTTAAAACCAAACCAAAAAACTTGGGGTATTCACCCAAGCAAAAAGAATAGTACACTAAAACATTAAATCCTTTTATGCCAAAAACAACAAAATATTTTGGTTAGAATTATTTGTATAATATGGTCTATGGACATTTATTTTAGGTTATTAAACTTGGTGCACAGATAAGTTTTGGGCAATTGTGTCTAAACCACAGATATAAAATACTATATAGATATTTTATATCTGTGGTCTAAACCTATTCAGTTGATTTCCCAACATTTTTGTTACATGGAGATATTGTTAAACCATTTATCAGGTCAGATATAACTATACTATAGTATTTAAAAAAACAAAACAAAACTTAAAAAGGAATTGACAAACTAGGTGTTCCAGTTTCGAGCAGCTGTTCTAATTCTAGTTCAAATCAGTCACAGTTAAAAAGCCCTCAACTGAATAAAAATAATTGAAATGGCATTAATGATTTGGGTAATTAAGAGAAGAAAGGTGGACCATGTCGTTCAGAAGTCTAAACTTCAGTTATTTAAATAAATATTATTTACTGGACAGAAAAACCATGTTAAAACATGTAGTATATAAACTTATTAAATGAAACATTTTAAACAAATCACTTCCAACTAGTACTAACCTTTAGGTGATGCAGAGTTGTGGCAGACATGTTTGTCATTTGTAGCTAAAACAAACATTTTGCACAGTGCACATATTCGGCCCTAAAATAAATACATATTTTCAATGTGAATTAGTTCATGACATCCGTGTAGTTTTTGTATTATTGTATCGCAGAATACTAACTACAACTTGGGATTTATCTTGAGCTCGAGAATTCATTTTGACAAATAAACTTAAGATATATTTTTAATTTTTGAAATAAAAATAAGTTTTATAAAACAAAATAATACATAATAATAATAATAATAAATTTCGGCATTCTATTTTTATTTTTATTTGATAATTGTTTTGGTAACCAGTAACCGCATAATTATAAACATTTGACTTGAATAGGATTTGATCCTATTATCTGGTATCTGTAAAATAACGTGGTATTTACTTTTAAACATTGTGGTTAACCGCTAGGTAACCACAAGATTCAGCCAATCACAGCGGTGAATTGTTTTTCCGGAAATCACGGATCACGGATCACGGAGCAGTGTGAATCCACCTTTAGATATACAGGACTGGTAACGATACGGCTGGAGGGTGGTAGAGGGCTGGATACCAAATTTTTTCAATAGGTACATGTCACATGTGGGACACCTAGCGCTATCTAGTAGGCTAATAGCTCATCCACCATTACTTCTCTATAAATACATTGGCACAGAAAAATAAATTACATTGGTCTCATTGCATATTTTATATTCATTCCATTAGTAAATAGAGTATTCAGACTTTAGAAATTTACTTACTACTTACTAGAGCGTCTAGATCTACTGCTTGATTTATTTAAATAGTTACGACTATTTTCTACATTTGTGTTGAAATTATAAAATTAAAATGCCTCGCCAGTGTTCAGTATTTTTATGTACCACTAAGGAACGGTCCAATGTTCAGTTGTTTAAAGTTCGAGAATCGTGGGAGGAAATTATTAATGAAGTAAATGGTAATCATAAACGTAAAGTGACATACGTCTGTATAGAACATTTTAGGAAAGAATATTTGATTAACAGATAGTGGGTGTAATGACTTGGAAGTAAGAAAACATAATTATTTGTATTTAGCCATTTAGGTAGGTACTATATAAGTACCTACTTGGTCATTATAAATTATAAATTATAACTCAATAATTCTATACACAGTTTAAAAGGAATTTAATTGGGCTAAAAATGGTGCTTTTCCATCAGTATTTAATTCACCATTTGATATTCACAAAACAAATGATTTGCCTGCAGAACCTCGAGAATCTTGTACACCTGTTACTGAGTCATTTAGGAAAGAATTGTTTGGTGAACCCAAGCCTAAGAGATTATGTCAAACACCAACATTAATAGTATGTTTGTGATTAATTGTCATAATAGACCATGTAGATTATTTAATTTATATATACCTACCTAACTTCATAGTTCATATGATTTATTAAAGGAATCAAAACTGTGGTATGAAAGTTTATTATTGCCAGTTGGTTGGTCATTATATCATGATGGATGTATTGTTGCATTGTATAAGCTGATTAAATTCATAGAATTTAATGAAGCTAAAATTGTTATTGAAAAACCAATTGTTTTTGAATCAAATAGTTTAAAAGTGAGCTATTATGTTAATCAAAAGCGTCGAAATCCTAAAAATTTGGGTCTATAACAATTAACATACCCACTTGATACATTGCAAATTACTGAAACCCTTCAATTGTTTGAACAAAAAGAAATATACCAAGGAGGTCCCAGTGTCATACATTTTTCAGGTATGAGTTTTAAATGTTAAATAAAACAGCTGTATAGGTACCTACCTAAACCAATTTTTATTTAGGAATTCGGGTTAAGAATACTTATTTAGAGAATACAACCTGGCGCCATAATTAATGTTCTATTCTAACAAGTTCAAAAAAAAGATGTAAAAGGTGCAATTCATTGTTCCCTTATTTTAGAGAGTATAAAAAAAGATTATCTATAAGAACTAAAACATATGTTGGAACAACTCTCACTCCTACAAGACACAAAATAATTAAAGGGATGATAAAAAAATCGAAAAATGTTAAGAAATCCAACAAACGGTAAAATTAATTTAAACTAATTACCTATTTATTTATTAAAATACTTTTTAATATTTTATTTTTCAAAGGTTTAAATTAAAAATTAACCAATTAAATTGTACATTGAGTGAACTACAAGATAAATCAAAGAACTTAACAAATAAATCATTAAATGATTTAGTTGAACATACAAACTTAAATAGTTCCTTCACAAAAAACAATAGTCCAAGAAATCGTAAATGCTAGTAAAGTCACCAATTTAAAAAATAGACGTTATTCAGAGAATTGGATTTTATTATGCATGTTGTTGAAAAT